CTGTGGTGTCTACTCTGAAGATTTCCATCCAGTAGATGGTCAGGTTCCTGACAGATGGATCCCAAGTGCATCTCAAACCCCTGCAGGAGGTGATAAGCCAGAGAGAAGTTGCCTGGATGCTTGGGAAGGGCACAACGAGGGATAATTCACATGCTGGATGGTTTAGGTAGCTTAGGTCCATGGGCTGGCTTAAAATAATGTTCATTAAAACAGAGTACCTGACACATGCAAGGTTCTCAGTGCACACTACTGAATAGCAGAATCAGATTCTTAAAATTAGAAGGCCCCTAAACAACTCCTAAATGAAGTATAAGTCCTCTCAAGAGGCTCCTCCAATAATGTTCATCTATCCTGTACTTGCCTATCTCTAATGAGAGAAGATTCATCACATCCCAAGACAATTTACTTTATATACTTCATATATGATATATTGAGCTGGAATTTGCTTCTTCTGTTTCTTGTTTTTCTTGCTGGAACCAAATAGAAAATTTAATCCTTTTTCTACAAGGGAGCCATCAAACATGTAAGGAGAATTAATATATAACTTTAAAAGTCTCATGTAGACCAACTATCTCCAGTTTCTTTAACTCTACTCCAAATCATAGAATTTCGTATTGGAAGAAATCTATTAAGCAATTTATAAAGACTCTTTAACAATGCAGGCATCTCCAGAAAATTCATCAACAGCATCTATTCAGCTTCTGTTCTGCCCTTAAATCTCTGGCTGTCGAGGACTGAATTGTGCCCATCCCCCAGAAGATACATTGAACCTAACCTCCAGTACCTAACACCTAGTACCTCAGAATATGACCTTATATGGTAAAAGAGTTGTAGGCATAAATAGTTAAAATGAGATCATACCGGAGTAGGGTGAGCTCATAATCCAATAAGACTGGATGTGTCCTTATAAGATGGCTGTATGAGGATACCAGAGACAAGAAAGGAAGAACAGCGAGAACATCTTGTGAAGACAAAGGCAGAGATTGGGTTTATGCAGCTGCAAGCCAAGGAACGTCAAAGATTGCCGGTTAAACATCAGAAGCGAGGAAGAGACAAGGAAGGATTCCCCTACAGCTTTCAGAATATGACTCTGCTAACACTTTCATCTTGGATTTCTAGCCTCAGACCTGAGGGACAATAAATTTCTGTCCCCAGTTTGTGGTACTTTGTTACAGCAGCCCTAGGAAATGAATACATTGGCTTTGGCTATATTTTGGATTTTCTTTTCAGAATGATCCCAACAGGATTCTTCCATGTGGTAAGCAGCAAATCAAAGAAAACCCTGGAGCTCTTCCATCTAAGTATCTCCAGTCCTGGATTGAGACCAATTTCAAACAGAGTCTATGAACTAACATACACGTCAAACACATGCTGTAGGGGAATGAATCTCCTAAACCACATATTCAGGTAGACAAATGTAACTTTTATTACTCTTTCATAACTTGATTTTTTAAACAACAGCTTTGCTGAAATATAATTTATGTGCTATTAAATTCACTTTTAGTGTACAAGTCAGTGATTTTCAGTACATTCACAAAATTGTGGGACTATCACCATTATTTAATTTTAGAATATTTTCATTACCTCAAAAGAAACTCCATACTTAACAGCAACCACTCCCCATTACTCCTTTTCCCTAGCCCCTGGTAACTATTAATTTACTTTCTATTTCTACCGATTCGCCTATTCTGGATATTTCATATAAATGGAATTGTACACTATGTGGTCTTTTGTGACTGGCTTCTTTTACTTAGTAGTATGCATTTAAGGTTCCTTCATGTCTTTTCATGACTTGATAGTTCATTTCTTTTTAGTGCCAAATACTATTCCATTGTCTGGGTATACCGCAGTTTATTTATCCAATCCAATTATTTATCCATGTACTGAAGGACATCTTGGTTCCTTTCAAATTTTGGCAATTATGAATCAAGCTGCAATAAACACTTGTGGGCAGTTGTTTGTGGGTATAAATTTTCAACTCCTTTGGCTAAATAGCAAGGAGCGTGACTGCTGGATTGTATGTATGACGAGAGTATGTTTAGTTTTGTAAGTTTCAAACTGTCTTCCAAAGCGGCTGTACCATTTTGCATTCCCACCACCAATGGTTGCGTTCTGTGCTTATTTTTTAAATTAGGTAATTTATCTTCTTATTATCAAGTTTAAGAATTTTTAAAAAGTATATTCTAGATAAAAATGCCTTGTCATTCCGACTTCTGGGCCTTCTTAAGTTCTCTGGACCTTGATGCCATACGGGCATCTCTCTTGGCCATTTAAGAGAAGCATTCTGTTGTTCCAAATGCCATGCCACGGTGGGGGGTGTGAGGACTCTGTGATACTCCTAGGCCTATCTGCAGATAGAGACACCGACAGTTCTTTTGTGTGCTATGGCTCTGCCTCCATGGGAGGTGGGAAAAACGGACTCTGAAATTAGCATGCTATTTACAATATTTTGTGTAGATCATGAATTTTGTGCCCTAAGCCATTCAGGTTCTTAAGGTTTAATACTCAGAAACTAGTCTTTAAAACTCAAACTCTTTTCCCAAATTATTGTTTCTGCCATCAGCATTACAATCTACTTTAAAATTCTAAAGCAAGAATTTGAGCCCTTGGCTACTTCATGTTCCCGATGCCTCTGGTTGAGTTTGAATGGGAACAGGGGTCAGGACATAGGATATAAGACTACAGAATATTATGTGGCTATATATGAAGGGTATCCAAAAGTAGGCTGAGTTCAGACAGGCGTAGGTTGTACACGTACTGAAGCTCAATGACAGAGAATAAGCCAAGAGTCATTCTGAAGAAAGACTAGCAACTTTGCTTTGTATTCCCTCCAGTCATGGGTTCTGAAGGTGTTCAGGGAGGTTAAGGTTGCAGAAATGCAATTAGAAGTAACTTAAGCTAAGAGGAGAATCTATTTTAAGGCTATCATGGTGTCTCATAGTCTCATAGAAACCCAGGACCAGAAAGCACTTAGGCCTCAGAACAAATAGAATCAGGAACTCAGATGCAGTCATATTTTTCGCCTTTTCTGATCTACCAGATTTCTGAAAACTCATTTTTTGCATCTCCCAGTGGCATTTAAAGATACCCTAATTCTAAATTATGCTTCCAAAATTCCCAGAAAATGACAGTTTCCCAACTTATTATCAATGAAATGTGGCCAGGGTAGATCCCACTTTAATAACACAGACATTTTCACGGTTACCAGGCAGATGGTGGTGAGGATAGGGAAAATTTCAAACTCACTCCCCCTCAATAATAATTTGCTTGGCAGACAAATCTGTTAGGTATTCTCTTTGTTGTTCCTGACTGTATGTGGTTGTAAGTCCACACTTCTTAGACCAGCATATGAAGACCTTGAAAATCTCCCTCTAATTTATCTTTCCGACTCCTGTCAATCTCTATACTCCAAGTCTAGCAGCCACCAATCTGTTTTCTCTTCCTAGAATGCACCGTGTTCCTTCTGGCCCTGTCAGCCTTTGTGTTTTTTTCTTTGTTTAGGATACCTTCCCCTCCCTAGTTTGCCTGATAATTTCTACTCATCTTTTAGGTCCAGCTCAGCATTACTTCTAGAAGCATTCTTGACTTCTAAAAACAGAGCTTATTGTTCTTGGTTCACTTTGTTCACACTGTTCTAGAGTCCCTGTGACATTGAATTGTAGTTACATAATTTGTCTCTTTTCTCTACCAACTAGGACATTCTTTTATTACTATTATTATTATTATTATTATCATCTTAGAGAGGGTGGGGGGGTGAGGGGCAGAGGGAAAGGGAGAGAGAGAGAATCTTAAGCAGGCCCCACGCCCAGTGCCAAGCCCCTCGCAGGTGTAGAGTAGGAATAGGAATAATGGATATATTGGTGTAGGAGTAGGGATAATGGATATAATTCTGGTTCTCTCTTTAGCAGATTTAAATTTCTGTCTCAGTCCCAAGCAGAAAACACGCAGTTGGTTTTTGGCCTCCTGGCCTTTGTCCTCACCCCATTTCTCCTCTCTTCTCCCTCGCCTCCCTTGTAAAACCAAACATAGGTTGTGAGGCCAAGAATAACCAGAAGAAGAACATCCTTTCCCCTCTATCTTCCTCTTCATTTTCTCCCACTCCTCTCCCAATTCTGTTTTGGGCCTGCCCCCCCCCCCCCCCCCCCCCCCGCCACCTTCATCTCATGGAAACACTTTCACTTTTGTCTCTGTCATATTTTACTGTGATTTTTAAATTCATGAGCAGGGAAGGTATCCTTTAAAACATTTGGATTTTAAAGATTTTTGAAATTGATTATTATAAACGTAAATTAACGATTGGAATTCTCCAAGTTTCAACGCTAGTGTAAGCCGGTGAGGTCATTTTCACGGCACCTGGGCAAAAATGCATCTGAATTCCTATTACATGGATTTGCAGGATGAAATCTGAGTTTACCTCTCTAACTCTCCCCTAAATCCTGAAAAACAAAATCAGTAAGAATGTTTACATGCTTATAGTAAGGATTCAAGGAAGCTTTGACTAAAGAGCGGAAGCTTTGAGCAGTGATTCCCAGGTTTTTGAAACCCAAACCGATAAGCAATGCCAATCAGTAACCCTTTCCATCTTTTACTTATAAAATAATACAGATAAAGAATAGGAGCGGCTAAAAAAGGGTTACATTTTGGAAAGAAAGCATAAATCTCGAAAAAGTTATCGGAGGTAACAATGCAAATGACATCAGTAAAGAACAAATCCAGCGTGTAAGATTACAGACCCGCGTCCGCGCCGTGGGACCACGCAGTGACTTTGTGAAGGCTCCACCTCCAGGAACAATTTCATTGGAGCTCACCTGCTCGCTCGCCCCCGCCCCAGCTCCTCTTCCGCATGCGCTCTACAAGAAAACACCCCTGGTCTCCTCTCGTCGCCTTCCCCACCCCCGAATTCCTAACTCCGATTGGTCCGATTCATGGGTCCGCCCCTTGGTCCCAACCAATAAGGAAGTCGTCTCGGTGCTCTGCCCTCTCTGCCTGCCGCTTGCGGCGGCGTAGCTCGCAAACCCGGGATACAAGTGGGGATGGCGGCGTTGGCGGCGACTGCGGGCGGGCTGTTGAGGCTACGTGCGGCCGGGGCGGAAGGACAGTGGCGTCGGCTTCGAGGCGCGGGGCTGCTGCGGGGCTTGCTGCAGCCCGACTCGGCCACCGGGGTTGCGGCGCAGAGGAGGCATGTGGCTCACTTCACTTTCCAGCCGGACCCGGAGCCCCAGGAGTATGGTGAGCTAGGGACTGCCCTGTCTGCTCCTGGTGCAATCCAGCCTCCCAGGCCTGTGGGGGCCTCGCAAGGAGTGCCACCCTGCTTGTGTGGGCGGCGGCCGGCAGGCTGATCTTGCATCTTGGTGTAATTCCTGCCCTGCTTTCTGGAGCCTCCCTCCTTTAGGGTCTGGCTGTGGTTTCCTCGTCGCTCTATTTTTGTGACTGTACAATCCTCGAGAGGCATCCCCTCAGAACCCTCGAGATGGGTGAGAGGGCATACCGCGGTCTGGAAGGGCAGAGGGTGGAGGGGTGGTGCCCAGGGAACGCCTCCTTTTCTCAGTTCTCCATCCTTACTTTCCCAGCCTTGGTCCTAGGGGTTGTCCCAGTTTGTCCGGAACTAGGCCATTAACTGCAGGCACCGGTATTTAAAAGAGAATTTTTTTCTTATTCTTTAATAATGATGATGATGATAATAATATTATTATTATTTTTGCTTTGGCAGGGAAGAGGAAGTGGAAGTCTAAGTAACTGAATTGATTTCCCCGAGGTCATAGAACAGGTTGTTCCTGGAGATGGGAAAGAATCCCAGGTTTCCCATTTGAGCCTAGCAATGAGCCTGGGCTGGGCTAGGCTGCCACTTAGCTAAGGAGGGGGTAATTGATGAAGGTGAGGGGAGGAGGAGGCCGTCTAGTACTCTCATTGGTAGGAAGGGCACATGGCAAACTCCTCACAGTATGACAGTTGCATGACTTTTACCATTTCTTCTGCAAGTTATATGTAATCTCTGGAAGATCTGCTGATCTATTATCAGAACAATGGAAGCAATTAGAGAACATTTACCTTTTCCTTGCCTGATAACTTCTCACATGCTAGATCTGATATTTTTGGAAGGGTGTCTATACTTGTGAATAATAGGCATGAATCTATATTGAGTGCTTACCATAGGCAGGGACTGTGCTGAAAAATTTACATTCATTATTTCATTGGATGCTTAGGACAACGTTTAGAGGTAAGTGATGTTAACTGAAGTCTTGAGATAGTTTGTCCAAAGTTACACAGATAAGTTAGTGATAGCTTCTGCTTTGGATTTTAATTATTTAGAATCTAGAGCTTCCATTCTAAACAATGTGCTATAATGCATGTAGAAATAATTTACTAAGAGGTGTACCACTTTTGTGAAACAGTAGATACCATAAAAGTGAATAGCAGTTTTTTCTCACCCAACAGGATGAACCTTGAATTCTGTCTTCAAAGCAAAGAAACTTTAGCCCAATACTCGAGAAATAGAATATAGGTCTTCTTAATCTCCCCAGCCTCCTTCCATAATTGTGAAATTACTAAAATCCAGGTAGAATGATAATCACGTTTGTCCTTATAAAAATAAAAATAAATGCATGTTACAGATAATTTGGATAATAGAAAAAGGTAAGAAAAAGTAATCTCACCATCCACTACTATTTGTAAATACTGCTAACATTTTGGTGTGTATCCTTCCAGGTATTTCCTTTCAGTTTAGTGGAATTACATTATTCCATTGATCAAGTTAGCAGAATTAAATTTTTCCCGTAACTGTAGTTTTAACGCAGATACAATCTGTGTTACTTAATCAGAAGTGTTTCCCCATATGATTACATAGTTTTCATAACCTTCTTTAGAAAGCGGTGTGTTCAGGGTGCCTGGGTGGCTTAGTCCCTTAAGCGTCTGCCTGCGGCTCAGGTCATGATCCTGGGATTGAGCCCCGCACTGGGCTCCCTGCTCAGCAGAGTGCCTGTTTCTCTCTCTCCCTCTGCTTGTGTGCTCTCTCTCTCTGTGTCAAATAAATAAAATCTTAAAAAAAAAAAAAAAAGGCGACATGTTCCATGGAGTATAAACACTCTAGTTTAGTGGTTAAGATCTTGGCCCTAGAATCAGATTGTCCTAGGTTTGGTTTTGGCCCTGCTACCTATGATTTTGGATTACTCACCATCTCTAGGCTTCAGTTTCTTTGTAAGTAAGGATTTTATAATAATACCTACTTCAGAGATTGTTACGAAGACTAAATATAGACAGTTGTGTACAATGTACTTAACCCAGTTTGACTACTAAGAAGTACTCACTCAATAAGTGGAAACTTTTAGTAATTACCATTATGCTTTTGTTTTACACTTTTGCGCGGTTATAAATAATGTGGATAGAAACATTTCATGTATCCTTTATGTATCTGAGATTATTTCTTTAGAATAAAGTCCTAGGGATGAGATTTCTGACTCAAGATAGGAACAGTTTAATGGATTTTTATTATATAGTTCAAATTATAGTTTATACTTCCATCTGCATGTATAAGAGTCTGAGTATTGGGTGTCATGATAAAATCACAGTTGTGCTGTGATGCTGTGATTTATAATAAGAAATACATATTTGTCTTTGTCCCCTTTTCCTGGCACAGAGCTCCTAAACCTTTGCAATTTCCTTTGATGAGAGCAATAAAGGTGTCTTGTTACGCTGGTGGTAACTTTTTGAAAACTAGTTCATCTAAGGATGGAAGCTGATCACTAGAGAAATCAATCGTGTGATTTCATTCCCACCCCCGACCTCGGCAGAGGGGAATGGTTCTGGAGGTTGAATGAATTTAATCAGTCATGACTATCTAATGAGACCTCCTTTGAAAACCCAAGAGGATGGGGTTCAGAGAGCATTTGGGTTGGTGAATAGGTAGAGATTCAGGGATAGTGGCGTGCTCAGAGAGCGTGGGAGCTCTGTGTCCTTGACCCATACCTTGCCCTATGCATCTCTTCCATCTGGCTGTTCCTGAGTTATGTCCTTTTATAATAAACCAGTAATCTTTTAAGTAAAATATTTCTCTGAGTTCTGTGAGCCGTTCTAGCAAATTAATTGAACCCAAAGAGGGAATGGTGGGAACCTCCAATCTATAGCCAGTGAGTCAGAAGCATGGGTGACAACCCGGACTTGTGATTGGCATGTGAACTGGGAGGTGGGCACAGTCTTAGGACTGAGCCCTTAACCTGGGGGATCTGACACTAACTCCAGGCAGATGGTGTCAGAATTGGGTCGCATTGTAGGGCACCCAGCTGGTGGTGCAGAATTGCTTGGTTGCATGTTAAAAAAACACACAGATTGGAATTGGGATCAGAATTGTGTGTGTGCATGGCATGCTTGGGTGTGTTGTTCTAATTGCACTTTGTTTTAATATGTATTTGTTTTATTTCTATTAAGGAATAATTACCAGATGTTTGTTTGCCAGATTTATTTGTCTTTGCATATTTAAAAAATTATATGCCTAGTAATTTTGTCTATCAGTACGAATCCTATCTACCATTATTGAACAACTGTCTATTCCAGGTGTGATAGACATCAGTCTGTAATCCTCACAGTAACCTTGTGACCTAGAGACTGTTATGCTCATTTTATTTTATTTTATTTTTTTTTAAATTTTTTTTTTAAAGATTTTATTTATTTGACAGAGAGAGACACAGTGAGAGAGGGAACACAAGCAGGGGGAGTGGGAGAGGGAGAAGCAGGCTTCCCACGGAGCAGGGAGCCCGATGTGGGGCTCGATCCCAGGACCCCGGGATCATGACCCGAGCTGAAGGCAGACGCTTAACGACTGAGCCACCCAGGCGCCCCTGTTATGCTCATTTTATAGATGAGAAAATTGAAGCTCAGAGATGTTAGTGGCCTGCTCAAGTCTGAGGAGTAGCAGGGCCAGAATGTGAACCCAAATAGGTCTATCTTCAGAGCCTCTCACACTACTGTTCTGCTCATGTTTTGTATATTAAAGATATTAATGAAGATAGTAACTCTTTGTCTTTCATGTATGCTACAAATAGTTTTATTTTTAAAATTTTGGTTATTTTGACACATGAAAGAGACTGCTTAAATAGAGTGATGGTCAGGGTCGAATCTGAGGAGGTGACATTTAAGCTTCACCGTGAGGAATGACTAAGGAATTAACTCCAAGGTAGAAGAACAGTATTTTCCTAGAAGGAAAAAGGGCAAGCAATGCGGAAGCCCCTGATGTGAGGTAAGCTTGTTCTCTGGTGCCTGGGGAAGGCTTTGTGGTTGCGCTGGCAGGCAGCTCTCAGAAATCAAGGGTAGACCAAAGAGTCTCTTTCTGTGGGGATGAAGTTCTTCTTTCCAGTGTTAGAATTTGTAGAGAAGGGAACAACATGAGTAAAGAGAGGCCAGAAAGCATAGTCTTTTATGAGGAATGAGAAGGAGTGAGTTCTTTTGGAGGAAAAAGAGGAGGAGTAGGAAATAAGTTTGGAAAGCCAGAAGAAAGGTTGGGGGAGAGAAAAGATTGAATATATCCAGTGTAGCTTACACTGTGCTGGGTGCATTACATTCAGGTTCGGGTTTGATTCTGTGGGCTGGGGAGGGCCATCACTTGCTTATAGGTAAGAGAGTGACTTGCGATGTGCTTGTGTGTTATTATGAGGAGAGTTTATAGAATTGATTAATGAAGGGAAAGTAAGGAGACAGAGCGATCAATCAGAGGGATATTGTACTGTCCATGCAAGAGGATATAATTGTTTAAAGGTTGGGGAGTGTCAGCGGGGATGATTGTGTGTTTTGAAGGAATTGACTAAATCTGGTGCTCTTTTGCCTGTGGGGCTGAGGGGAAGGGGTATCAAAGATGACTTGACATTTTTAGCCTGGGATGCTGAAAGGAGGATGAGTGGTGGTATCACTGATACAGATGAGGGGTGCTGGAAGAGAGAAGCATGTTTCTGGAGAGAGGATGACTTAGGTTTGGATGTGTTGATTGGATGTTTTAGTGCGTTTGGGCTGCTGTAACAAAAGTACCATAGACTGGTGGCTTATAAACATCAGTAATTTATTTCTCACAATTCTAGAGGCTGGGAAGTCCAAGATCGAGGAATTGACAGATTTGGCATCTGGTGAGGCCCTGCTTCTTGCTTCTTAGCCGGCTTTCTTCTCACTATGACCTCACATAGTGGAAGGGAGCTCTGTGGGGTCTCTTTCTATAAGGGCATGAATCCCATTCAGGAGGGCTCCACCTT